CCCCAAAACCCCAAAACCCCAAAACCCCAAAACCCCGTTGATATAAAAATTTATTGAACTTGTAATAACTACTTATTAATATGGGCCAATCTTCTTCAAAAATGTCTGGACTGAGCAAGATAACTAAGGAGAAATCTGCTAAAGTTGCACCAAGCTCTAGGATAAAGTAAGGACCTACTCATCATCAAGATAATTCCCTCAAATATAATTTTTGAGAATAATATATCAATGTTTGTAGTCTTTATACCCACATAGCTTCCAAAGATTATCTTTGCTTAGCATGAGAGTAATAAGGAGCTGATTAGGACTTTCTCCGTGGATTTAGACCCTTATGCTATAGATCTTACAAATAAACCTTAATAGTTAGATAATAAGCTTTATTATGACCATCATGAGCAGAATTTCGTTCAAATTAACATGTGAATAAGTAGTGTGTCCTTTAAAAATTTCGATAGAAATTTGTTTTCAAATGTGCATAAAATGGTACTTCCAGATGTTGAGTTCATATAATTTTTGTAATCACTAACACATTCCTTCATGCTCATTTTGAAAAGATAGAATAAGATTTAAAAACGAGAGGCCTGTTTGCCCATAATTTATAAGGCTATATCTAATCTATAGCAACATAACAAAAAGTATTAATGCTCCTCTCGATGTTAAAATTTTCAACCAAGAAGGTACAAAGGCAGTGGATTCTTACAAGGTGGGAGGCAGTGCTTTCATCCTGCATGATCCCTCTCTTAAAGAGCTGAGATTAACAGATCAGGTATGAACGTTACATTTCTAGGAATTATAATAAACATTTTATGAATTTTCGATAGGTACAAGACCAATGAAAGGAGAATATTCAAGCATTGGTTGTCAACAGATATGATGACTACTTTGTTTACCCCAACAATATTCCTGAATCTAGTAAGGATTTCAAAAACCTCCACAAATTTTGTTGGTCAGTTATATCCGATCACTCATTTCCCTGTGGATACCTCCTTAAAGAGGATGACATCATCAGAATTGGGGACTGAGTCCTTCAAGTCAAGAAGATCCTTGAAGGTAAGATTTCGTGTTTAGTATGTAGATTCTGAAACATCTGGAGACATATCCAATCTTTATGTAGGTTCAGAAGGTGAGAAATACTCTGAAAATCTTCAAAACGCTCTCAGTTTTCGGCCAGGTTCAAAAATAACCCATCGAAAGGGTTTTCTAGAAGAGGATAAGACTGAGAATTTTGTGAAAATATCTCCTCGAGAACCTCAAACTAAGACAAACCTTGTCTCATTCCGTAACAATTCCTACACGGATGAAGACACACCAGCTGATTTGTCCATTCAGACGAATATGAAGAAGGCAGTTTCAAGTAGGATAAATACCTAAAAAGGAAATAATGTGAAGGATATGTTTAAGTATCCAGAATAATAATGCTAGCAATCCCCTCTTTAGTCCATGAAAATGTAAGGGATCCATGAAGTTCGTCCACTACCGATGAATGCAGAACTGGTTGAACACTAAACGCAAGGTCCAGCGTTCACTGTTTCATGTATCATATTATTGGAGATTAAGCTCATGAGAAATCTGAAAGCATCAATTTGAGACAGAATTTGTGTATAACGATAAAATACTCCAGCTACTATCATTTGAGACTCCAAAGAAGCAAAATGATTATTTGATACTGGAGGTGCTTAATTTTGACAAAATTAAGTCTATCCATGTCATCAATGTCGATCATAGAGACACTATCTTTAACAACTCAGCAGTTGAGTTCACTGTTGGAAGAGGAAACAGCTCGGATATTTATATTCCGGATAAAAGTTTGCAGAAAAATAGCTGTAAAATAGAACTTTCAGGTGGTGAATTTCGACTAAAAGGGCTAACCCAGGCTTCACAAACATTTGCACTTGAGCTAAACTCAGTCTCTCTGGCTGATAAAGCTTCAGACTTCATTGAAATGATGATTAAAAATAAGAAATTTAAATTTGCCATTGCTAAAAGTGGGTGCATATCTTGCTCTTTTTGCTCATTTCCAAAAACAAAAAGAGTTGGAAAGCCTTTGGAACTTCTCAGGGATCAAATTCCACTAAGGCTAGCTTCTCAGTTGATTTTTAATAACACTTATAACCCAATGCAATCGAAAGAGAACTCTGTTGAGCCTTTGTACAGCATGAAAGAGGACTCTTGACAAGATATTCCCTCTCTAAGATTCAAAGAGCCTGTAACTCCAGCAAAAGGCTCAACTATGTTAGGAACTAAGTAAATAAAGCTCTAATGATTGGGCCCAATATATCATCACTAATACTTAAAACTACCGATGAGGGTTAAGAAGGGGAACTAATAACCACCATTAGGCTAAACAGTTGCTCTTGAACACCTTATTTCCCATTCTTGCTTGCTTAGTGGACTTCTAGCATAGCTAAGTTTTATGTCAAAAACCTTAGATATTTCAACTCTAATTCCTTAAATAGGGGTTTTGGGGTTTTGGGGTTTTGGGG